TTGATAAAGGCAGCTTCCACAAAAGATTTAGTTCTCAAAAAACTGGCCTATATATACATATCAACGCAAGCTGAACAAAATGCAGATCTGGTAATACTAGCAATTAATACTTTTCAAAAGGACCTTCACGATGAAAATTTATTTGTGAGAGGATTGGCATTACGTACATTATGTTCAATGAGGTATTGATCTATATTTTAACCTACAATTTAATATGAATTTATTAGGATTAAATTACATTTTTATTTACTTATTTATTTTGTATATTTATTTTTTCAAAGGCTCTCAGAATATGTACCATACATGCTTGAATCTTTAAATTCCGCTTTAAAAGACTCAAGCGCGTACGTGCGCAAGACAGCTTTAATTTCATGCATTAAAGTATTTCATCTTTCTCCAGAGCATGTGTTAGGTAGATTCTTATTATACTTTGTGTAAGTTGTAATTTATTATGACTTACAAAAATTGACCAATGTCATATATTTTTCAAATGACACAATATATTTGAATACATTTTTATTAGACACTACTTTGATTGATCAATTATATAAGACTCTTGGAGATAGAGATCCTGAGGTTGTCGCGAACTGCGTTGTGGCTTTGAATGAAATATTACATTCTCAAGGTGGAATGACCGTTAATAAAAAGGTTGCTCTGTATTTACTTCAGAGAATTCGTGATTTCAATGAATGGCACCAGTGTTTAATATTGAACACATTAGTTAGATATAAACCGAATGAAGATGATGAAATATATGATATAATGGTATATATAATTGGACTTTAATTAAACATTAAAAAATTGTAATGTTTGCCATTGCGCTAAAATATTTGTTGAAATGTACATATATAGAACCTTTTGGATGACAGGCTCAAGCATCACAATAGTGGTGTGCAGTTAGCTGCAATGAAATTATTTATATATTTAACTATTAATATCCCAGAAATTCATGAGGATTTGTACAAAAGAGTTAGAGGTAAGCTCTTTTAGATCAAAATTTAAAATATAGTCTATTATATGATCGTTGTTTCTAACTTAAATTCAAATCATCTAAAAGAACCACTGTTGACATTATTGTCATTAGGCAATCCGGAAATTGCATATTCGTGTTTAGAACATTTAATTTTATTGGTGAAATCAGCGCCTCAATTATTTCAATCTGATTATAAACAGTTTTATCGAAGGTAATTTAGATAATAAACCTGAACAAAGTAATAGTCAATGGCTTATTATTTAACTACTATAGGATAAAAGAACCATCATTTGTCACTTTAAAGAAATTAGAATTGTTTCAAGAAGTTGCTACAGACATCAACGCTAAAGAAATTGTCGATGAAATTAGGTGAGACAAATACTATACATTGCTTGTTTGACTTAACGAAATATACAATAATATAAATTTTAATCATATGTATTGTAATTTTATATAGTTGTTATATCACTAGTGATAATGGAGCCATTGCGAACAAATCAATACAAACTATCTCTAATATTGCTATACGCATTGGAAGTATATTGACTTATTCCCTTGAAATTTTCATAAAATTATTGGAAACCGGCAAAGATAATATTGTGTCCGGTATTATCACGATACTTGAAGGTATTATTTAACAAATTTTGACAAATATTTCAAAATAAATGCGTACTTTTCGGTTAACATTTATTATTTTTTTTTAAAAAAATAAAATAGATTTATTAAACGAAAGCCCGGATAAGTTTGATGGGTTACTCTCTGTTTTGCCATCTATTTGGGCATCTGTAGATTTAACATCACCTGCAGGACCGGCATTTCTAAATCTTTTAATGACTGTTGGAAATACACTACCAGAAACACCTTATATTTTAGAATCTCTAATTGAAGATATAGAAAATTATCCAGGCACATCATTTCGTTTGCAACTTCTTAATTCTTCAGTAGCTCTATTCTTGCTACGACCCGCAGAATGTAAAGATATGCTGGCAAAATTATTTAAGTACACTATGAAATCAACAGAACATTTAGAAGTGCGAGAGAGATCATTATTTCTCTATCAATTGCTTCGATTCGATATTGAAACGGTGAATATAATGATCTGATTATTAAGTATTAATTGTTTCATGTGTATTATCTGAACAAATTTTATTCAAATTGATCGTTAAAAGGCCAAGAAAATTTTCGATTTTCGACATGAAACTACGAAAATTTCAAATAAAAATTTATGGAATACTACAAAGGTGAGGAGTTTTTATTTTAACAGAAGTCCTCTAATATACTCTAATATACTCTAATATGCTCTAATATACTCTAATATGCTCTAATTATAGGGTCGTCCATTATATGAATTCAATACACTATCTATCACTTATGGGAAGCCGTCAGAACAATTTATAGTTGATACTGGGCCAACTTTTTATTGGCAGAGTAATCAAGAGATTGATTCGCAATTTTCACCTACTCTGGAATTTGATACGGTAATGTCATATTGACATAATTCACGTGATTGCATTATTCTTTTATTGACCATGTGCCAACTAACTATCCAGGCTAGCGAGCATAATAGAGATACCTTTACACTGTCAAGCGAGAATCCAATCGATGCAGATGCCAATGTTTTCAAGTCATGTTGGAGTAAATTTATAAACAGGTATTTTGTATGATTTCACATGTTTTTTAAATTAACCCAGCAATTTTAAATTTACAAGCTCCTTACATAATTTAGTGATCAATTAGAAATATCACTCCCAGAAACGTCTATGCTTGTAAAATCTTTGACACTTGATGACATTGAAGATGTATTTAAGGAGAGTAACATTTTTACTATGGCTTCAGGAAATACGGGAGATGTATTGAAATTCTTTTTATATTCTAAAGAGGTAATATAACTTTATATTGTCCTATACTATTTAACCTTTAACATTATCACGTAAACTAACCTTTTTATACCGCAGGAAAATTCTCATGTGTTGATATTATGCGAGTTGAAAATTAATATACATCTAGCATCAGCTAATATTAACATTAAAACAGGATACTTACCACAGGATGAAATTGGTTCAGATGCACAGGAAACAGAATTATTTAAATATTCACAACATTTTTCACATTATTTAACTACATGTTTACAAAATTTGAAGAATTTAATAGTCTTTGATAATTTATCGTTATCATCATTATAAATAAAAAGATAATTACTAATACGATTGTGCCCATAAGTTTTTATGTAACCTGAGGTGCTAGTGTCAGGTGGTAAATTGGCATGAACTTGATGAATTTAGTGAATTTTAGTGATAGTTACTAAATGGGAATCATATATAAAACTGGACGTAAAATACCGGTAAAAAATAAAGTTACTGGCAATTTATGGTAATTTACCGGTATTACCGGTAAAGAATTTATAAATATTACGACATTAGCCACTGCCAACCAATTAAAATTATCTCATTAAACAAGGGTTGGGTTTTAAATAATAAAGTCTGAAAAACTTTCTTATTTAAAAAATTTAACTAATAATATGGTTTCGAATAAGGAGTATCAAACGTATTTGGATAGTGAGCGAATATACACATGTTCTAAATGCCACACACATCTTGCTGAACACAAAGAACTCATCTCCAAGGTAAGATACCTATTTTATTATCTTATCTTTCTTTTGCTAGTATTAAATTTTTATATTTCATTCTATTTCCCTTGCAATTAGGCATTCCAAGGCCGACTTGGACGTGCATACCTGTTCAATGCTGTGTATGTCTTGATATAGCAATCAAAGTCCCAGAAAAAATATGTATTTATTGAAAACTTTTAAGTAACATTATACTTTTTGACCATAGTGAGAATGTTTGTCTTGGGCAAAAAGAAGATCGTACACTTATAACTGGAGTACATACTGTCAAAGACATAAGTTGTATTGGATGTAATACTGTTATTGGGTGGAAATATGTGAGTAACGACCAATATGATCAATATTTATTCCATATTCTTAAGATTCATTCATTTATTTATTTTTATTCAAAGGTATATGCCTTTCAAGAAGATCAGAAGTACAAAGAGAATAAATATATAGTTGAGAAAGCAATGATTCTGAAAGAAAATAACTGGTGAATTTTATTATTAGGCCATACAAATTTAATTACTTTGGTTTTCATAATATGAAACTTTTAAATAGACCCGGCCGGGTTATGAAAACCAATTAATTAATTTTGCATGGCCTTATATGGGTCGACGAAGCTAGCTAGTTACGATCGAATACAATTTGATTTATATTATATTTAAAAAGCTTTCTTTTTAACTCTCCTTTATTATTCTTTATTATTTTCCTTGTATATATATTTATGTTCGCGAGGATTCTTATGCCTAAACAGGCGTATGTATTTATTGTCTGGCTTAACTGGGTTTTTGGCGCCAAAAAAATTAAGGTTTAGTTCAAGTTTGTGCATTGTTGTACAAGATAATTTTTGTTATACAGAAATAATACAAAGGTTATTCTTTATCAAACATTATAATTATTCGTGTATTAATTGCAGAACTTTAAATATGATTAATTTACTTTTTTTTTGATTATGAAGTAGATAAACTTTGAGAACCTTAATAAAATATTTTAATAATTAAAAGAATTCCTGATGCACCTTCTCGTAAACTATATTAAGTCTATGTAATTGAAATAGTTTATGAATGGATAAATTTAGCGAAAAATAATAATTATATATATATGCTAATGCTAAATGCTTATATTTTACCATTTCGTTTATTCTACGTATACCTTTCAACATTACAGATAAAATAATAACAGATAAATATAATCCAATCGTAGTGATATAGTTGTAAATAGAGATACTGGCTGTATCAGAATTTATTAAATTTAAAAGTAACCATAATAGTTTTTTTAAGATCTTAAAAACACTACTATCTTTAGTATAAAATATATTAAACTATATGATTCAATTCTAATAAATTTAATAAATAAATTAATATTGTAAAGAATTATTTACATGATTAAAAAAAAAATAAATAAAAAAATAAAGTGTTAAAATTTTTTCTCATTCACATGTGTCTATTGCAATTTGAAATAATCAAATATCAAATATGGATTAATTATTTATAACCACCATTTCTTGTCATGATTTTTGATCATTTTGACCGTTTTGACCATTTGAACTATTTGTACCATTTTGACCATTTGAACTATTTGTACCATTTGTACCATTCGTAGTAGAAGAGGAAGCTGATGGTGGGTCAGTAGGCCAAATACCATCTCTTTTCCACCCGCTGACCAGTATTTTAATCTGTGAAATAAATAACAATAAGTCAATAGAAATAAAATATTTAAAATTTGAAATTGCTCATAATGTTGAATGATAAAAAAGGAAAGAAATTAAACCGCATACACACCACGTAAGGTAAAGGAACAGGTTTTGCTAATTTTTTCTTTTCATAAACCAGAGAATCATATATGGAATTATAATTATTTGGGGTAATGTTCATCAACGCTGGATTATTTTTATTATCAGAAGTTTCTGAAATGTTCTGATTCCCGCGAGTCCATAATTCTCTTCGTTTGTTCCAACATTCCAGCCCTTCGTTAACAAATTTACTTGTAGATTCCTTATCCTTATCCTCTACTGTAGTTTCCTGCGATGACGTGCTTTGCGATTGTATTTCTTGAGACAGAATTTCTTTTAAGTCCTTTTTATCTTGAGTAACCTCCTTCGGAACATAATTGTGACCATTCATTTAAAGATAATTTGACTTTTTATTAGTTTAGGTCAAAAGATAATCAAATAATTTTAAAGGGCTTTTTGGTTTACAATTTTGATTGGAAGATTTTTATTTTAAAATACCTCCCCCATTGAGATTTGGATCGACAAAAATTGGTCTAAATTCGTGATTATCATTACAAATTTGGAGGTCCGTTAAAGCCAGGTTCGTTTACATAATGATCTACAAATTGCATAAATTGTGCTTTTGATATCTTTATAAAGCAAATAACCCTAACTGCATCAAAAAAACCAATCCTAAACGAACCTGGCTTTAACGTTCTCCCAAATTTGGTACTTTTTGCATTATACTTAAGTTCCCCAATGTGTAAAACCTTAAGAAATTCTTTCTCGACATTTTTAATCCTTTTTTCATAATACATAGAAAAATTTTTTGTCTATAAAGTATTTCTCAATTAAACATGTGAAAAAAATGTCTGCTCAATCACTACCTCAAACAACTTCAAGGCGACTTCCGACAACTTATCATTCAGTTCACCCTGGTTTTTATGCAAGAAAACAACAAATTCTAGCTTCTTTAATAGACCCAACAATTACTCGAACTGATAATAATAATAATGTTAACAAATACTCTTCATCTAAAGTTTCTTCTCCATTAATCGATGAACCAATTTTTCCTATAATTGAATTAATTAACAAACATGAAGATTATACCGTAACGAGTAGTTGTTCTGGTAAAATTTCAATTATTTCTACCTGTTCTAATAATAATAAATGTAAAACTTCAAAGAAATCCATCTCCGGCAAGGTGGAATCTTTAACTACATCTGGTAATATTAATTATGGTGAACCTGAAACTGGAGTTGTTTATAAACATCAAAATGATTTAGATGATGATGATTCATCTTTAAAATTTGGAGGTGGTGGTGGAAAATTATTATTTATCGCTCATTCGAAAATTAATTTACCTAAAGAAAAAGATTTAATTAACAATTTTTTATTGAAATTGATTTTTGCTGATGATTTTGAGAATGTAATAACTTCTAATAATGAAAGTTATGATTTATCACAAAATAATAATTATAACTTGATTTATTTCAAATTCGATCCAATGGTTGGTATTATAATTTATCTATTTTTTTTTTTTTCTATCTTCATTACAAACTTCATTATCTTTTCACTAAAATTTCTTTTTAGATTTTACATGCTGAAGCTCGTACTTTAGATGCTGCAAAAAATCTTGTTAATTTGGCCGTTGAAATCGGTTACCGTGATTCTGGTCTATTGACTACCTCAAAAAGGCATATGGTAGCAATTCGTGATTCTATGAAACTTGAAACTCCAATTGCGTATTTAAATTTATCAACTCAAAAAATTCATCTTTTGGTTGAATTATCTTATTTGAATTTACTTATTAATCTAAGTAATCAAAATTTTGATGAAATTCTAAGGAAAATTAATGATTTATTAAGTGCGCTTGATAATAATCTTTTTAGAGGTATGGGAAGTGGTGACGATGGTGTTAAAAAATTATCAAAGGATGGTGGAAAAACTTGGGATAAAGAAGAAAGGAGAGAACGAAAAAGAAGAGATGTATTATCTAGACAGATTGGATTAAGAAAAAGTGGTACTTTAAGCGATGGAAATGATGGTGATGTGTCAACTGTTGATGACGAAAGTCAAGGTTTAGATAATTTGGATAATGTGTGAAACTTGATATTTTTTTTTTGACTATAAATATAACCGTTTATTGTTCGTGCTCATCTTGTAACTTTATCCAATCTCAATTTAGTTTTGGGGTTCTCTTACAGTATAGATTATCCCTTTAACAAAATGTTATTAATTGATTATAGGAGATCCAAGTTTTGATATCAACGTTTCTCTCATACACGAAATTATGCCCTATTAAATACCTTTGTTTTAATTATTTTTAAAAATTCCCATTATGCCACGTACGCTTTTGAATTACGAATGATCAACAATTTCAATAATTTTTTACAGAAGAGAACATCCAAGGACGTCTAAGTCGAAAATCGTCAAAAATTTTTGTGGATTTTGAAATTTATCGACCAGTCCAGATGTAATGTGATCATGTTTTGTATTTTGATTAATCAATCAAAGGGCAACGTAGTTACTATTGGCTATATTGACGACTTGCGACCTAGAGTTTTGCAGACTCGAACCGGGTCGGCTCCGGTTCGAATCCAAAATTTTTTAGATTCCGGTTCTAAGCTAACGGGTACCTGATATGTCTTTAAAATTATTTTATTATGTTAAATAAATTATAATATTTAAATAAATCAACAAAAAAGACAACTGGTAATAAAATTTTCTAAAGAGAGTTGATCATTAACAAAATGTACTTTAATTAAATTTAAAAAGAAAACCAACTTTGATAATAAAATACATGTTGTTTTATTACTTATTTTAAAATCATCGAAAAATTGTTGTCGTCCCTATTACTGTATTATAATACAGTATATTGATATTCCTGGAGCAAAGCGCTTTGATAACCGAAATTACATTTTTGATGAATAATAAAAGCTGTAACGCCCCTGTAAATTCTGATTAGCAAATAACGTGATAGAATTTTTCAGGGGCTAAGTCCAATGTTTTCTCAATATTTATTATTATAGTCTGGTGCAAAAAGATTTGTACCTCAAATAGCTATGATTAAAAATATTTTTTTACAATTTAATTTTTTTTTTTTTTTATATTGCCAAACATAGAAACTTTATTAGTCATAATAAACACCTTTTTACAGAACAGTTGATATACAGTTTCTAATTACATTTGTGCTACTATTACTAGTCACCCAACATGGCATTATACTTCTTATTTTCCTATATTACTTTTTTATTAACTATTTCAAGCCAACTTCAAGCTAGGATCGGTTGGAGCAACCTACTATTACATGTCCTACTATGTAATTATTTTCTGTAATTTTCCTTCAATTAGTACATATTGACTGCCGCCATTGTGTTCGTATCTCATGCCA